GAACCCTTTAAAAAACTCATCACGATGAAGAGTGCATTAGTACCGAGAATGGTTATCACTTTCTCCTTGAACGTATTTCAGTTTTTAATATCATGGTGTCTATTTTCGTGCGAAATTTCTTCGTGTGCACTGCGATAGGAAACTTAAATGGAATATAAACCATTTCCACCTGTTATTTCTTTGGATAGTATAGTTGCAGGTGTGATTGAAAATAACCAATAGGCGCCCTCAATTCGAGATTAACGCGCGTCTATTGGGCGTTGTTTGAATGATCTTCCACATATAAGTACCGAAGGCCGGTCACATCAGTTTTGTTTTCTGTTAGGCTCCTATTATTTTCTGCCTGTCTCTGCGTTGTACCTTTTATTTTTGCTAAGGATGGCGTTGTTTTTTGTGTTGTTTTTTGTGTTGTTTTTGTCCCTAGCTGCCGTAATAGATGGAAACAATGAAACTTTACTAGAAAAATTGTCCGGATTTGTTGCAGATGTCAACACCGCCTATGCCGTGACGGAGAGCTTCAATGACACCATCGGCAGTCACTTTGTAACCGAAATGATCATTCAAAATCAAGTCGAAGAGAAACAAATGAAAGCTGGTGCAAAGGAAATTGCGGAAACCATTGTGCAACTGCCGAATATACAAACTCTTCCAGAGTACATTGCCACGTCGATGGACAAATTAAAGCATTTTGCTGAGCAGGTAAATTTTAGGAACATTTACCCTCTATAATTGTATTCCGTTTTGCACTAGATTCTAGAGTGTAATATTTTCATTTTCCATTAGAATAGTCAAAGGTATACACGGACTATTTGAGTTTTCCCCTGCATACCCACAAGATGCTTTCCAGGGAACAACGTACATTGCGTATTTCCTGGTTAGTTGTGTTGAGCTTTCCCCAGAATCAGATTTTGAACAGCAATGCATGACTGGATTTACTGTAGTGAAGACGATAACTTGGCCGATACACTGTACAATGCATCAGCTTTTGATCAATACAACTTAAAGATGCCTGCCTAGCCAATTAGTATTGTTGGATGGAATAGACCCTTATTATTTGAATTTGGTTCAATGTCGAAATGCCAGTCTTGCCAACCATACCGGTGGGAACATGGCGTTGGGATACTATTTCCAGAGATAGACTATCGTCAATAAATGTACACACAAATATAGCACATAGATAAATGCGAAAATATCCCTCTAAAACTAATTTCATGTCTGACCGAGAGCTATGTTATGACTCCACTACAACCTTTGTCGTGTTTTTACGATCGGTTTCACGCATAACGCGACATGCAGTTATTGAATTTCGAGAAATGGTCTATTCAATGTACTTAGCAGTGTGGTAACTATAATACACCAAGTAACGCAACTGTTTATTTTTCAGTTTCTTGGTACTGAACAAATGAAGATGCCTGGTTATGATCACATGAACAAAATATATTCTGCAATTAAGGAACTGATGCATGAACTAGTCAATACTGAACAACTTTTGATAACCGGCAAGTCCTTCTCGTATTGTAAAGTAATTCAGAATACTGAATATTAGTATTCAGAATACTAGCGATTCCGCTCAAGAGTAACAATAAATCCCTTGCTAAATGAGGTTTATACCGTTGCCCTAGTTTGTATTACTTCTCAAATTAACAATGAGCCAATGTGCAGAGGTGAAAACCAGATTTTTTTTTCTAAATTAGACAAATATTTGGAACTTGTGCTTTTAAAAACAAGTACGTGCGAGTGAAAAATTCTGCTCAAATCCCGTTCGTGATATTGTTCGTCTGAATGCTCGGACGATAACAACCTGCGCGTTTCGTTGGACGTAGATTCTTGGCATTTAAATACTGTACATGCGAACAAATGAAGAGATTGTACGTGGCGCAGCTTCATTGGCGCTTTGTCATTTCAGATATTTCATCATTGACAACGCAACAGTGCTTAATGTTCATGGGTGAAGACTATAATCGATTTAATGAGGCTATAGACCTTCTGTTGGCTAATTTAGAAGACGTGGAGAATCCAGTCGGAGACGAGTCATTGAGAGAAATTGGTGACGAAATTGACAAAATGCTGAGTGATTCAGGTTAGTGTACTGCTATACTGGAAGAATATCCCGAATCCCAGACTCCTTCACACAATCTGGTATGATAGTTTATGCGAACATGGTAGAACACCCAAAACAAGATGAGCTTCTAATCGGCACGAGCGTCAATATAAAAGTACCTATGATTTACAAATATTGTAACAATGTTGCAGCTAAACAATATTTTTACACGTGTTGACCTGAATTAATGACAATTGTGATCTTGGATATAAAGATAATGCAATTGCTGGTTCATGAGAAGCGGCTGATTTGATTTAGTCTAATCCTAGTTATGGGATGCATGATTTGGGATCTTGCGATATGCAATTTTTTGTCAAATCGGAAATGCATTACAACAATTTGCATTCTACTTCTTTCTAGTATGGAATTATGAATCCAAATGTACGTAGTTGTATAATTAAACGAATTCTGAGCGATACTGAGTTGTATTCAATGTGATTATTTTCCTATAATGCACCAGAGTAGCTGCGTCAGATAACCAGTCCTCTACTCGCACAACAAACCCATTCTCGATTTTATACGACAATATAAAATGGTTTGTTTTACCCAGCTTACCACTAACTTAAAAATGGATTATCTGTTTGCAGACCAAGCGAAATCGCTGCGAATTCAACACCAGTTATTTTACATGGAAAAGATGAAATCTACTATGGAGACTGTAACTTGTGAATCAGAGAATGGCCGGCGAGGCAGTCCACGTGAAGCAGCC